ACAATATCTTCGACCAGAACTTTCCTCCCCTTCTAAAATCTATTACCGAAGATCTACAATCCTGGCAAAGACCTTGTTTCGGTTGGTTCTGTCGAACTAACATAATCAAGATGAACATTTTGCCACGACTCCTATACCTACTTCAAACACTACCCATCTCGATTCCCAATCAGTTTTTTAAATCGATTAGAACCTTGATCACTAATTTTATATGGGCACAAAAATACCCACGCATAGCTCTCAATACACTGTGCAACTCTAGAGAAAAAGGAGGAACCAACCTACCAGACCTCGAAACGTACCACAAGGCTACACACCTTGCCCGAATATATGAGTGGACGGCAACTGCTCCCTCTCTACACTGGGTACAGATTGAAACGGCCGCCTCCACGATACCCCTGCGAGTTCGCCCATGGCTGTCCGCAAACCCCTCTCAACACCAATGCAGTCTTGACATCCACCCTACAATCCGACCCACTCTCCTAGTCTGGCACAAATTAACCAGAGTATCAAACATAGCCCCCCACCCCTCTCCTCTTTATCCCCTCACACATAACCCTGACTTTCAAAGAGGACAATCCGGGACTGCATACGACACCTACCACACTGGTAAGGTCTTACAACTAAAGGACATTATCGAAAACGGAAAAATTAAAAGCCTAATCCAACTAACGTCCAATAGGTCTCCCACGGGTAACCACCGTTTACATTATGACCAACTGATACACTTTATTAAAAGTGCCAACCTCTTACAATCGGGGCTACGAGCCTTGACTACTTTTGAGCAACTTTGCTCGGACCACCTACTTAAGAAAAAGGCTCTTTCCACTATGTATAAACTTATTAGGGACTCTAGAGATCTTACATTGCCAAAATGTACGGCGAAATGGGCTGAGGAACTACATACAGAGATCTCACAGAAACAATGGGAAACTATTTTCCTAACCGCACACAAAGCCACCACATCTACTATAGCACAAGAAAGTAACTACAAACGCATAGCCCGCTGGCACTACACCCCAGCTAAAATACAGCGAATACATAACTCTGCCCCACAGACATGTTGGAGATGCCAACACGAAGTAGCTCATCATGCCCACGTCTGGTGGCAATGCCCAATGATAGTTTCATACTGGAAGAGAATTCACACCATGTCACAATTGATACTCAAAGAAACCATTCCATTCACACCGCTACACTATCTATTCTTAATACCCCCCCCCCCAAGTATTAGGAGGGAAAAAGCCTCCCTTTTCAGTTTTTTGGCTATGGCAGCCGCCCACCTCATACCTAAGTACTGGAAACATACACAAACTCCCTCGATCAGAGAATGGATAGGAAGGGTGAACGAAATCAGACAAATGGAAGAAATAACATATGCACAAACCAAAAACTTCCAATCCTTCACTCAAATTTGGCAACCGTGGCATTACTTTATGGCAACCAAGCGTACAGCCTAAACCGAAGTCCTACCACAGTCTCTGCCTCCCGCCTAGACTCCCACACCCTACCCCCATCCCCCCCTCCTCTTTTTCCTGTCTACCAGCCATACACCCTAGAATACTCCATGGGCCAATCCTTGACAAGACCAAACTTCTAGGTTGTACACTTCACCCTGCCCTCCTAGACTCACCACATCACTGTCTCTGCACTAGTGGAAACCACTTTGATCCCACAATGTTTGTCACCCTCTAACATTTAAGCTTAGTGAAATACTTGATTACTTATCCATTTCCTGAACCCACCAGCAATACTGCAATATTCACACTAAGGTGTGTCACCATATTCAAACCTCCTTATTCAACTCCAGCAACATGATTATCACTATTGTTTACTATTATAAACAGTTGTTTGAAAAACTATTCATCTATCCTACATTGTGATTTGACTACTCTGTTAACATAGTTATCTACAGATCTTATGTATATGTGTCAAGAAAACATTGTTGTAATGCATTATCTTTTTGAAAATAAAAATTTGAATATAAAAAAAGAAAGTATCAAAATATTCTTAGATGAATACCCTGGGTTATCTAGTTTAAGAAAAATATATGCATGTGGGGTGTTTTTTTAGATTTATGACATAACAGTGTTACAATGTCACTATTGATACATTTGAAAAATGTACATTTTAAAACAGCAATTTCCTACTTGTAGTTATAGCCCTATAACTTGCAAATAAAAGCAAAAAAACATGTAAACATTGGGTGTTTTTAAACTCAGGACAAAATTTTGAATCTATTTAGCAGTTTGTTTCATTCGATTTTGTAGATCAGTAAAATATTGTTTAAGTAGACGTCAAAAAACTTTTCTTTTAATTTTTCACCATATTTTATTATTTTTTTAAAATTAAATTATATGACATGATAAAAATAATAGTATGTTAAAAAAGCCCTTTTTGTCCTAAAAAAAAACAATACATAATTTGTATTGAACAGTAAATGAGAGAGCGGAAAATTACAGTAAAACACAAACACCACAAAAGTGTTAAAATAGCTCGGGTCCTTAACGTACAAACATCGCAAAAACAGTCCGGTCCTGAAGGGGTTAATAAAAAAAAAAACATACAACGAATTTAACTTGGATCATGGGTTTGAAAAATACTATAATCTCAGTAGGCACATGGAATGAAAAAGAAGAGCAGGCTTCAAAAGATGGCATCAACAGAATAAATAATGTTATTGGATATATGTTTCTTCCACATCATCTAACCCTAAACATAGTCTTTAAAAAACAGTGTTTACTACGAAAAGCCTGAAGGGAAGGATTAAACTCACCAGAACAAATATAATAAGCTGTAGTTGTTCTGGTGACTACAGTGTTCCTTTAATGTGGCATAATGTCGAAAAGAAGACACCTTCACTTGTTTGAAGTCAGGTCTTGGGACTGTCTCCATTATCGCACCCGCCCCCCACCTGCATTAAGCCCATCAACAGGACAAGACCCCACAGGTAACACAAACCGAAATGTGGTGTGTGCTAGTATTGGAAGGCGGTGCAGGGAAGGTGACTGGAGGGGCTTCATCTTGGGTGAAGGAACTGTCACAAAACGTTTGGTTGCAAAATGTATTACCAGTTGGAGGTCTTGATGGTAAGGTATGTCTTTTTGCTGATGCTAAGATATGTAACAGGGTTGATGTTTCAGGAGGGATAAGCCGGCAAATGATTTAGGTAAACTAGAAAAATGGTCAGAGTTGTGGCAACTGATATTAATTGGGGATAAGTGCAGGATAATCTTAGATGTAAAAACCCAAGGGCAGAGTACAGAATATTTGATAGAATCCTAACCTCATCATCTGATGAAAGGGATTTAGGGGTAATTCTTTCAGGTGACTTAAAGGTAGGCAGGCAATGTAATAGAGCAGCAGGAAATGCTATCCAAATGCTTGGTTGTATAGGGAGAGGTATTAGCAGTAGAAAGAGGGAAGTGCTCATGCCATTGTACAGAACAC